GTGTTGTTTCCCATGCTGAAGCATTGGCATGACCCCTGCAGCCGTGTCTTATGAGGTGCACAAATTGAGAAGTGTACCAAGTTGCCGTCAGGTGAGTGTGCTGATTGCACAAATCGAGAAGTGTACCAATGCCAATGGGACTTGGCTCAAGATGACACGCACAAAAGAGAAGTGTGTGACCTGGGCTGTGGGATGGGACGAGTTTGGAGCTTGATTTGCTTAGTGCCCTATTACCCTATGCACTTTAGTTTTTTCTATGGAGTACAGTCCTTTAAATGATCTACCTATTTCCATACGGAGGAATCTTGGCACTCCAGCACCTACTCATTACTCCGTTGTTACGAACACTCCGAACACTCCATCCCCCAACCCTCATAACCGACAGGATGGAAAGAGCCCCCAAGCTGGCAGATCTGGCAGTCTGAGCCCTTTTTGAGGCTAGACATGGCTTGACCCTGAATCTCCAAAAGCTAGGGGAAAGGAGGGAGGAGCGGGACTCGCTCTTTCCGGCACTCTCTAAAAGCTAGGGGAAAGGAGGGAGGAGCGGGACTCGCTCTTTCCGGCACTAAAAACCCATTTAGGAAGGGATGGGACCTGTTGGTTAGAAGTGGTGGGTTGGCTCGGTTGGAAGATCTTCGTGTAGAAGCTCGCCGGACTGGTGCATCGTTCTTGACACGTTCGCATGAAAAGCCTCGAGCCTGTGAAGGCCCGTCTGCGTGAGCCAGGCTGACTCCATCCCGTAGACGAGCATGCGCACAAAGACTGCATTGCTTCTATGGAGCTTCCCGGCAGCAATGATGGAAGGTCTTGAAGTGTTTGCGCTACTCGTTTAGCCGCTCCGTCACATCCTTCCTCGTCATTCCATTTCTGGATAACATGACTCCCAGATATTTGGGGTGTTCGGCCTCTTTGATCCTGTCGCCTGTGAAATTGTGCACCGAATTGCGGGAAAATTGGGAATTGAGCAGGAGACACTTATCGCACTTGAATGCCAAATCGCTCCGCCGTTTCTGCAACCAGTGCCGGGTCGTCCGCATAGGCGAGGTCATCAAAGTTAGGAGTTAGACATGTACCCCCCCCCAAATGTACCACCCCACCCCCCCAAAAAAAAATAGGACCCTAGTAGGCCTTATTAAGCTCCGTAGAATCCTTATTAGCTCCTTAAACCCTGGGGGGGTACATTTGGGGGGGTTGTATTGTAACTCCTAACCAAGTCAGTTTGTTGTCCAAATACAATGGCGTGGCCCCTGTTCTCGATCGCACCATGAGACATCCTTGACGTATTCCCCACGTTGCGGTGAACACTTTGCTCGAGCGCAGTGCTCTGCCGCCTTCACTTAGAAATGTTGCGAGGTGTAAATGCTGGAGATGAGAATGATCATGAGACAAGGCACGCCATATCCTTGCGAGGCACGATGCTGACAGGGCGAAAGCCTCCTTCCAGTCCAGGAAGAGGACGTACAAAGATTCATGAAAAAATACTTTGGCTGGAGGAATCTGCCGGATTGCTCCAGCCCAACGATGATCTTTTCTTTCCCGCGGGCGGAGAACTGGAATTGTATTCAGCTGAAGTGAGTTGATCTTCAATCGCCGACACTGGCAAGTCTTCATCCGTCACCCCAGTTGGATCGAGTTCCTGCTTATACAATCTTCGGCATCAAACATGGCCGAGTAAGCCTGAAAGTCCGTAAAGACCAGTATCCTGGAGCTTGGCATTGCACCTTGGCGGAAGAGGCAGCCTGAGCCTTACAGTGCATCATGTCATTCAAGTGGGCTTGACTCAAAGTTTCTTGGAGCTTTTAGGCTCCGCTAACATGAACAAATAACCAAGTGCTCCTAATCAAGCTGCAGCACACAAGTGATTGTTGCCTCCAAGCGAGTTGGCCATGTCAACATGATACAGGTGCTCACTGAGAAGTGCATCTTCCAACAACAGGAGATAACCAAACGTGCGCCCAAATCTATCCTAGACACGCGCAGTGGCTCAATCAGCAACGGAGTATGCAGCTGTGAGACGCATGGCAAGCTTGAAGCCATCAGCATCGTTCGCTTTACGCCCGACTTTGCACTCAAGCTTACTTTAAGTCCAAATTTCGGGATCCTTGTCTGGAGTTCTCCGGAAACATTTAAGGAGTCCGTTGAGAAACACAGGCCAAGGCTCATCACGAACTTCGTGGTCTCAGTCTTCCCGGCGCCGGACTCCCCGCTGATGAGGACCGTTCTGCGATCATACCAACGCCAGCGCTCTTAACAGGATTCCCACAACTTTCTAAGGAACATGCTGGCTCTTCCGACGGTCGCAGATGCCCCGGTACGTGGCATTGGAAGTGTTGAACACATGCCTCGACAGTCTGCAGGAAAGCAAGTCTCCTTTGGCCTGCTGCGTGCTGCCAGCGTGACGGCTTGCTGGAGGGCTTGGTGGTCATGAAACTCTTCAGGACCTAGGCCCCAAAATTGAAAAGCAAAAAGGGAACTTCGGGAACCATGACATGACCTCCTCGTCGTAGAGACCAGGAATGCCCTTGAAGGGGTTCAGCCTCAGACCCGAGGCTGAGATGTGCTGAGCTGTGCGGCGCCTCTGTGGCTCTCAAGGGCCCGGCGCGATGAGAATGGGACCAGTAAAGGTGTAGATCTTATCGATGTCGAAACGATTTTGCAGTGAGCTAAGTACCTGACCCGCTCCACAAACAGCACGACTTGCTCTGTCGGCACTTCAAGACACGTTGGCGGGTTGGCGGCACTGCCGGCTCATGCAAATGCGTCAGCTGACACCTGGTTTTCAGGCGGTTGGCAGACTGCCCGTAGCTGCCATAGCTGGCTGCAGGAGTGTGGCAAATCATCCAATACGGAGAGTCCCTCGGAAGTGAAGACGTCCGAGGTCCTGAAAGGAAGAAGAAAAAGACACAAACTAGCTCATGGCCTCTGAAGTCCTGCCTGAGAAAGATGGGCTCGTGAGGCCCTAGTACGATCCTGCTGTTCGGATCCTCTGCTGTCTTTACCTTAGTCACTGGTGGATCACCATCGTGAGCTGAACAGTCCAATCCTTGAGCCTGGGACAATTATCTCCTTGTCATTGGCTGTGACAATCTCCGCCTGGATCCACACCTAGCCAGAGTTGCAGGCTTGAGTCATGCAAGGTTTACTAGCCAGCGTCATACAGACTGGCTTTCGTTGAGCCCTCAGAGTCCTCGCCTCCTCCTCGTGCTTGATCCAGATCAGTGTGCCCTCATGCAGCACAGAAAGGCAGCGTTGGCAGATGTTGGCAGCATGAGCTGTGTAACACCTGCCTGTGCATAGGTCTGGCTCTGCATCACCAGGCCAGGCACCCCTCAGCTCGGCACCGTCCTTTGACTTCAACCTCTCAGCCTTAAGCATGCTCCTGCAAGCTAAGCTTGCAGCTGTCTGAGAATCGGGTCACAAGAGTTCAGCTCGACTTTTCTTTCGCCCAATGCCGTTGCTTGGCTGCTTGGTTGGTACTTTGGTGCTGGGCTCATGGTTGAAAGAAAATGGAAACTTCATGCAACTTCTGTCTCCGATTCATGGAACCTGCTGACTCTTGAACCGAAAATCCACGTACCGGCCTTGAAGAGGCTCTGGGGCCATGATGACAAAGCAAAGGTAACTGAGTCGGCTTTGCAGGGCTTCGCGCTGACCTCATGCTCCCCTGGAGCTGAGGACAACGGCATTGGGCATACCAACCTCAAAAAAGACGGAGCCACTTCTTGACAAAGCGACCCAAACCTGTCTCACCTTGTCCCTGTTCAGCCAAAGCGGTGCCTGGCAACATCAACAAGCCCTGCCCTCTAAGAATTCAACTCTGCTACCTCGCCCCACCTTGCCTGCGCATAGTCGTAGTCCATGCGGGGTGTCGTTCGAAGCTCATCTGCTACCTCCGAGTTGCGGCAACTCAGATCGTCCAAACAAGCTGTACTCAGAGCATCTCAGAGCATATCAGAGCCCGCCTCCTTCTCGTGGCACGGCCGCATGATGCACAAGGACCTGGGGCGAACTCTGGGACGCTGAAAAAGCCGCAGTTCTTTCAGGCACAGTTGGATTCCAACCAGTCCAGCAAACCGGATCGGCGATCAAACCTCTGCTCATTGAAGCAGCGCGGCTCAGCTGCACTCTGCGGAGCTTTGCCAACGGCCCTTCCTTGGGCCATTCAGCTCTCAAAAGAACGATGCCTCCGCGGCGTGTCGGTGGAAGCACGACTCCTTCACACCAAGAGCACAAGAGCTGCCGCGTCTCTCCATATTCAAAAAAAATGGCACTGCGCTGATCTCTGGCTGACGTTTTTCTATTTCTGGGCTGAGGCGCAGCGTGGCCAAGGCGTCGCCCCGCTCAGTTGCCATTTTTGCGGCCAGGGACATCCCGTCATCGCTCCTGCAGACGTCTTAAAGCGCCAAAAGAACGCAGATTGCATAAAGAGAAAGACTTTCAACTGTTCAACTCCACTGGGCTCCAGCCCTCTGGGCTCTTGCTCAGCTCAGTTCGCCGCCGGCGCAGGGCCTCAGCTTCTGCGGACCCTGTAAAATCTAGATAATGATGTCTGAAGTCTACAAGGCCCTGCAAGACACTTCTAGCAACCTCTGCAAGGCATGACAACAAAAGCAGAAGCTACGCCCTGCAAAGCCCTTGTCACCGCCCAAAGCCTGCTCTCAATCGCCCGCACTTCTGAAAATGAGTAAGTCAGTCTACTACCAAAAGGCCTGCTACGATTGCATCTCAGCCACCTGGATGTAAGGATTTTCTAGAATGGCATCGCCTGCAGAAGTTCAGACTGGCGAAAAAGTCTGTGGCAGGTTGCAGCACGTGCCCAAGCCCACACTCTGATATTTCACGCAGCATCACACAGCAGGAACTTAGTTGCCCATAAATATTTGGAGCAGCTCGTTACTTCAGTGCCCACCTGCGCTAATGCCTGTACTCGCAAGCTCGACCTGCAGCACTGCACCATGGTCAAAGCACAGTCCATCGCAAAGGGATTGGTGAAGGAGCTTCCGTTCAGCCTTACTCGGCGATCCGCCAAACTTGTTCTTGAGCCTTGCAACATCAGGATGTGCAGTGCTTACTGCTCACGCTGCAGCTTTTATGCTCAGTGCCGTGCCGGCCCGCCAGCTCTACAAAATCCATCTCTTTGAAAAAGCTTTCGAGTGGATCCTGCCAAAGGCTCCACACTTGGGCAAAAGGCTTACTTGAATGCAACTGATTTACATTCGACTTGATTTCGGAAGGGTCTCGCCACACTGCCTCGTCCAAAGCCTCTGGGGCTTCACGCCGGAGCACGCTGAAGGTGATGGGGAAACCCTGGCAGTCTTTTGCTTTGCTGCTTTGCGCTGCTTTGCTCAACCCCCCTGCTCTCCCTGAAGTGCAGATTCCAGGATCACGACCAGTTTCCTGCCTGGACCTGCGCAGCCAGGAATTGCTCGAGGAACTCGTCGAAGGCCGCGACCCTCTTCCCGTTGATCTCCACAATCTGGTCACCGACCAGCCTCCAAGCAATTTGCTCAGAACACTCAGCCATGCAGGAGTGCAGCTGACCATCCAGGAATCCTGCAAACAACAGAGGAAAGAATCACAGCATCTGTAAGACAACTTGCTTAACTGCAATGATTTGAAAAAAACATAGACTTCAACAATGCGTGGTAGTGTAAACAGCCAGGCTTTCGTTGATTTTTAGTACTGGCTAAGTTCTGAAACCCACGTTTCTGTGAGCCGGCCGTTCCCCGAAGCTGGTTCCCTGAAGCTGCGTTTTCTGCTGTACCAAAATGTTCGTCAACCTCGCAATTGCTGCACTGAGCCCTCCACCAGCCATGTGAATTTGCTTCCTCGCTGCAGAAACCCACCACGGAGGTTCCGTGGAGCAACAAGCCCAGCGTGCCATCCTGTGACACATCCTTTTCTGCGTAGTTCAAATGCGTCCCACTAACGTGAAATGATGCGAAATCGCGTCACATGTGTCACTGACATTGGGTCGAGCCGTGAAGCGTCCTGAAGCAGGGCCTCCACTCGGACATGCCGGAGCCGGAAGCACTCACCTCGCGAAGCAACGGACGGTTTCAAAAAGGAAGAGAAAACACAGATGCTGACCATGCTGACGCTTGCCGTGGCGATCACAAGCACGCCTAACGTGGCACGAGCTCTGCCCACCTGACTGCATCGGGCTTGGTGGAAGCTCCTGATCCTGCAGCAAGGCCAGACCAGGAAAATCAGGCTAGAACTGCCGTGCGAAGAAGGCACCTCAGGAAGCGCAGCCATCAATTTGCCTTGCGCTCCCTGCGCCTCACCAGGCTGTGCAGACTTGCTTCGAATCTGCGGGTCAGAACCGCCTTGTTGCGTCTGGACAACCTTCCAGGCCCTGCCGACAAGAGTGAAGTAAACGCATGGGCAAGGCATGGAAAGGCTGGATTCTGACCTGCAGGAACACGGTTTGGAACGGGCTGCTTTGGAGAGTGCAATGTCTCGTCCTCCTGTGTTGCGAGTGGCTTCGAAACCATGCAAAATGCGAATCAGGTGCGAGTGACTGAGCACTGCGAGCACTGCACGGATTCCTCTGGGCGCTTCGGTGGAGCTGGCATCAGATCACGAGGCCGTCCCTGATCGTTCTGAGATGCTCGGAGCACTCTGTTCAATCAATCTCAGACCTTTGCAAGGCGACTGGGCAAAGGCTTCTGCACCCTCAGTCGCAGCGAGAGGCGCCCAGTTCACACAAACTGGTTTGAGCCTCCCCTCCCGGCCACTGTCGCCACATGGCTCAAGCAGACCAACATGTCGGTGTGTGGACTGAAGCCGTGCAAAGCATTTAAGTCGGTAGAGAGTCTCATCGCGGCTGTCTATCGGTGCTAACTATCAAGCCATCCCTGCTGCTGTGGCCTGCAAGCCAGAATGACTGGCCGTGAACAGCTTCAGAGCTGCGCAGCTGTGCAGCACACGAAAGCAGACTGCTGTGGCCCTGTAATTTTCAGGGTGCCAGGCAGAGGCGCTGGCTATCAGACACCAAAAGCATCCATTCCGCAGACCCTTTGCGGGCATGCGGAGCTGGGTCAAAGCCCAAGCCGCGGGCGCGGCTGGTTTTCCAGCGCACCAGCTGGCCCCTGGCAAAATCATCTCACTTGGATTGCGAGCGAATTGAGACAGGGGTATCGTTGCATGGCACGCAAACAAGGTTTTGCAGCCGTGCAAAGGCTTCAAAAAGAAACCCTGATTCAAATGAGGAACACGCAATTTTGCTGCTCCCAATTCGGAATTCCGCTTAGCTTCAAATAAGCAGGAAACAGGCGCGAGGCGAAGCCGGGACAACAAGCCATGCGTAATTCAGTATAAGGCCACATCACCGAGTTCACGGAGAGTTCACGGAGTGGCAACAGCTCACGCTGTTGGAAAACTCGTCTAGGCGATGCACACTTGGCGGGTCGCCTTCCTAAGTCCTAACCTACAATTGAGACCTACTTGCTCAGCCTTGCTCAGCCAATGGACCTGCATGAAAAAAACGAACTGTTAAGCCCGGGCTCCTAGGCTCCTTGGCTGTTTTCCGGTGCATTCGGTGGCCTGGCCCTCATGTGCCGCAGCTTCTTGTCTGCATCCTCGCAGGATGCATCTGCTTGCAGATTGGTAAAAGTTCCGGAATGCTCCTCCAGGAGCCGCTTCGAAGGCCGTGCAGGTCTCACCTACACGGAACGCAGGCCCCGCAGGTCTGGCCAATACGAAAACAGCATCACAGCAGTGGCATGTCACAAGATTGATTTTACGTCTTCGTGCGATCGATGCATCGCAGTGTCTTCCGAAGTACTGCGACAATGCACTGCATACACATGCAACCGTTCTAGGATCCATAAGATGTTCTATTTCTTTATGCTGCCTTTTGGGTTGCGGATACGTTTGCTTTGTCATGTTTATGTGCTCTCTGGAATTAAAATTAATACGTTTCCTCGAACAAACACTACTCTAGGACTCTAGGAATTGTTACGAAGATGTGTGCAAAGGGCATAACTCCAAACTGCCACCCGCAGCCACCTCGCAACGCTCCTGCATGCTCCTGCATATTTTCAAATTGATACCTGCAGTGAAGCTTAGTTGGAAAGGTCACTCTTCCTCACCATATCTAACCCTGAATATGGTCGCAGAGACCTGCTTCACACTGCGAAGCGGGAATTAGCTCAAGGGCCCTATATTTGAGACATACGGCGTCAAGATACAGGGAGTTCAGACTAGTTGACATGGCTATACATGAAGAGACAGTTTCATGCAACGAATCTGGCCTCGTGTGTCTATACAAATATGCTGGAGATTCTTGAACTCCAGTATTCCCATAGCTGTACACATGGGGAATCTTCCTTACGGAAAGAATGGAACATGAATTATAGCAATCCCTATATGCCTATATGCCGTAAAAGTGGTCGTATAGTAAAAGGACAAACAGATGCTACACACGCTTAGTCAAAGTC